CTACCTCGGTCCTTGCGCCTACCCCCGTATCCGAAACTACTGATTCTGCCGCTCCAAATACGAACTTGTGCATTCCGATATCAATTGCCGAAACCTGCGATCCCATCTGCAGCACACGCTCGGAAGACCGTTTATATTTAACCGTCAGAATTAAGGACCAACCAATTTTAGCTCTCGTCGATTCCGGTTCCTCGCGTACCTATTTAGGTCCGGAAGGCATCTCGCTAATTAAAAAGTTTGACTGCTCGATCCAAGATACTCCCGCGAGTATCGTAGTTTATGCTGATGGCTCACGAGGCAAAGCCGACGGTGAAACCGAACTGCCTATAACTATTCGCGACCGGACTAAAATTGCAAGAGTACGCTTACTTCCGAAACTGAACGTTCCGTGTTTATTGGGGTTAGATTTCATTAAACAGTTTGGCATAGTAATTGATTTCGCGAATTGTCGTTGGTGCTTCCGTGATCGTTCCGCTACCGTTCCTGAAGACCCCTGGACTAATATTTCCTACCCTTTTGAAAACTTTTCCGAAACTAACCATCCTACTTCCGTCATTACCGCAGAGCTGTACTCTGGAATTACCTCTCTTTCTCCCGTCGAGTCAACACGTTTAAAACAATTTCTAACCAATCATTTGCCGCCTCCTCTAGACAAACCTGAACTTACTATCGATTTGAGCCAAGCCTATTTTCAAATACCGTTGGAGAAAAACAGTAAAGAAATAACCGCGTTTACCGTTCCCGGGAAAGGACTGTTCCAATTCAAACGCATGCCATATGGGTTGACAAATGCGCCCGCCACATTCCAGCGCCTGGTCGATCGACTAATAGGGCCCGAGATGGAGCCGCACGTCTTCTCATACTTGAACGATATTATCGTAGTTACGAAAACGTTTGAAGACCATCTCATCTGGTTAAAGAAAGTCTTAGAAATTATCTCGCGAGCAGGCTTGACTATAAACCCCGAGAAATGCGACTTTTGTCGTTCGCTGGTCAAATATCTCGGCTTTATGGTCAATGAGAACAGTCTGCAAGTTGATCTGGAGAAAATCCCGCCTATACTCGAGTACCCCGCATCACAGAACCTAAAGCAATTACGTAAGCTCTTAGGGATGGCGTCTTGGTACCGTAGGTTCCTTCCGGAATTCGCCTCAGTTGCTGCGCCCCTAAACCTTCTATTGAAAAAAGGGAAAGAGTGGGAATGGGGGGAAAATCAAGAGAGGGCCTTAGAATGGATAAAATCCGCCTTGACTTCCGCGCCGACACTTGCTTGATTTTTCGCTCCCATTCACGTTACAAACGGATGCTAGTGAAATAGGGCTAGGAGTAGTGTTAACGCAACAACAGAACGATACCGAACATGTAATTGCATACGCGAGTCGTACTCTTACCCCCGCGGAACATAAATATTCAGCGACCGAAAAAGAATATCTCGCTGTCATATGGGGGATTAAGAAATTTAGATGTTATCTGGAAGGATATTCGTTTACCGTTATTACTGACCATATTAGCCTCCGGTGGTTACATAATTTAGAGAATCCCGTAGGGCGCTTAGCTCGATGGGCATTAGAACTACTTGAATACAATTATACGATCGTTCATAGAAAAGGCGCGCTTCACCACGTTCCCGACGCGCTTTCGCGAATGTTCGAGACGCCGATAGCTGCTACCGAAGAAAAGGACGTAAACCTGTCCAATGACGAATGGTATGATCGTCGGATAAAGCTAGTTCGCGAATTTCCGTCTCGATTTCCGAATTGGACACTAGAAGATGATCGTTTGTATTATCATCGTCCCGCTTCCGTTTACGATAAACTCTTCGAAGATTTGAATGCTTGGAAGTTAGTTTTGCCGCTCCCTTTGAGAACGCGTGCCATTGCGGAAACCCACGAAAAGACTCAAGGTGGACATCTTGGCATTGAAAAGACCTATTCCCGCTTAGGTAGAACTTATTATTGGCACACCATGCATTCCGATGTCGTTAAATATGTTAGGTCGTGCGATCGCTGTCAACGCTGTAAACCGGATCAAATGGCACCCGCCGGTCGTATGGGTCGACGCGTTGTGGAAACCCCTTGGACTGTCGTAGCTGCTGATATCATGGGTCCCTTTCCGTCAAGCAAATCTGGTGCCGTATACTTATTAGTTTTCGAAGACCTTTTTACTAGATGGGTAGAGTGTCGGGCCTTAAGGAAAGCCAATGGACCGGCCATATGTACTGCTTTTGAGGAACTGATTTTAGCTCGATGGGGTACACCTGAAGTGTTGCTTACCGATAACGGTACCGAATTCGTAAACAAGACCGTGAAAGAACTTTCGGTAAAATACGGAATCACTCACAGCACGATACCTCCGTACCACGCTCAAGCTAATCCTGTAGAACGCGTCAACCGCGTATTAAAAACTATGATTGTCGCTTTCCTCGGACAGGATCACCGAGAATGGGATAAACATCTTCCCGATTTCTGCTTCGCGATTAATACGGCTATTCATTCCTCTACGGGATTTACTCCCGCTTTTCTGAACTATGGGCGGGAATTGCAAGCAACGAACACGTTGAGGAAAGAGCTTGAACCCCCGGTTAAACTCGACCCCCAGGACCCTAAGCAATGGGCTAATCGCCTCCAACGACTGGAGCTAATTCGCGACCTAGTGAGGAAGAATGTAGACTCCGCCCAAATCAAACAGGCTAAATATTACGATCGTCATCATCGTAGCACAAAATTCGAACTAGGCGATCAAGTTCTCAAGCGCCAGAATGTATTCTCGTCAGCCGCGCTAGGCGTATCCGCTAAACTAGCTCCGAAATTTTCTGGGCCTTTTACGATTTCGAAAATCTTATCCGCAGTTGTCTACGAATTGAGTGATGATAACGGTAAATCAATTGGAAAGAGTCACATCAAAAACCTCAAGCGATATAATCCCACCACCTGAATGTACTCACCATCATATGTCTATGCTTTCGCTTTCTTTGCCTTATATTAATCTCCTGCATGGCCTGCTTTCTTTTTTTTTAACTTTCCTAGATTGCCTTTTTGCCGCTCTCTTCAATTGTGCCGCTTTCTCTCTCTTATTGTGCCGTTTATCGTCTCCCGCCTCCCTTGCCTCTTCGTATCATTCCGCTCTCTTTATCCCTTTCCGTTCCGTCCTGCCCTTCCCTTCTCGGGAGTCGTCAGCTTCGAAAGACGCCGAATGGAGACTGTCGGCTGGATACGCCGTATGGCGGAGCAAGCCCGTGCTAAGGAGGCTCTATACCGGGGCATGGCTGCCCTCTTCGAGAGCAATCTGAGGGACCTAGACGACCCGGATCTCCAGGTTTCTACCCCGGAGCCCGCCGAAGGGGAGAGAGTACCCTCGCCGCCAGCCCCGCTGCGACGACTTAAACGGACTGCGGATGCCACCGTCGAGTCGGAGGGGTCCCCGAAGGTGACGTTGCCATCTATGCCACCGGGACCTTTCGACCCTGAGCCCCCGATGCTCTTCACGGAGGTGGAGGCCCAAGAACACCGGGCCCTTCAGCCTCCCAGTGGATCGGGGCCGTTACACTCCGACCGTCGCCAACCCAGAGGCCGGGGACGAGGACGCGTCCCACCGGTCGAGAGTCCGCCAGAACGAGCGGATCAGTGGACGCCGATTCCGACGGCCTCGCCACCCTTCCTCCAGCTCCCTCCGCCGGAAGCCTTTCGTTTCCGGGAACACTCCTCGAGAGTACCGGGGAGTCCTCCCATGCCTCCATATCGAGAGGCTGGTCCTCCACGGAACCCCCACATCCCTCCTCCCGATCCTATGGAGTGCGCTCGCGCTCCCGTTCGGGGTACGCGGCCCGGCAACCCTAGGGCCTGCTGGAACTGTTGGGTCCCAGATCACCGGTACCCTAGCTGCCCAAAGCCGCGGAACTGGTTCTGCTACGGCTGCCGGGCCTGGGGCCTCACCCTGAGGGATTGTACCAACTGTGGGTACCAGTATGCCCTGGGAGGCCGGAGACCGTCCCCCTACCCACAACCTACCCGCGGCAACGCCGCTTCTAAGTTGTGCCGTCGTGCACCTCCTTCCACTTTCGTCCGCTACCCTCCTTTCCTAGCGCCCAGTTCTTTTTTTTGTTTTGTTATTTTCACCTGTTTTGACTTTTTTTTCCGGTCGTAAACACCGACCTCCGTGCCTCCCCTCCTCGTACCCTTACCAAGGCCCAACTTTTAGTTCGTTTTCTTATTTTTTTGAACCCGTAAATACCGGTTTCACCAGATTCCCACTTTTCTTTTCGTCGGATCCCGTCTAACAAGTGCCCCGTTTCTTTAGTTAATCCTTCCTCTTCGTCTCTCGGGTTCCGTTTAGCGCTTTTGTTTTTTTTTTTGGTCAAAACTACCGACCACCTCTCATCCTAATCTCCTATCCAAGGCCCAGATTTTTGTTTGTTCTTAACTTTTGTTAAACATTTTCCGTAATCTCCTGAGTTTTTCGTTCTGAACCCAAGGTTCCTACCGACTTGTCTCTTCCGTCTTCATTGCCGTACCTAGATTTTTTTCTTCCCATCGAACAATTTTCTTTCGCCTTTCTGGCATACACTCTCACGTAATATCGAATCTCGACCAGAGTTTTTTTTTTGTTTGGGTGCCTATTAGTTCCGACTAGCACCAATGAGTATGATACCATTCGCCTACCTAAACTTGAAGTTCGTTTTGCCGCCATCACTTCTATTCTGTCTTTCTTAAATTTCGCAAGTCCCGTCTGGACTTAATGCTCTCTTGTATAAAGTTTATCGGCTATTCCAAAAGCTTTTCTTTTTTTTCTTTTCTCGCGTACGAATGTTGGGAAACCTCCCTGGCACCGTCGACCTTTCGCGGTAGATTTCTTTTCTGGA